AACTGAAAAGTATTATAACTAAAAAAGGGAAATCCGAATTTAAAATTAACAATTATTAAAATTAACAATTGTTTATTAACGAATTCTTGTAAAATTACTTATAGTATGAGGAACAATACCTCTAGTTTTATGAGAATAAATCAAATGACCCTTAACATTCTTTGACACAAGAATGATTGAATTTCAAACAAATGGAATATTTTTTTTAGAAAAAAAAAGAAGTCATGAAATCATATGATATGACACAATCATACAATGACACATAGACGTTCGTAATTATGATACATATTTAAAATGATTAATTATATTTGTTACATTCATTTTAAGTGAATAAAAAAAGAAAATGATATTGTGGCCTGAGGCATAGCGAGCTTCATTTATTACAAAATTCAAAATCAAAATTTTTCTTTTTTAAATTGAATTCATGAATTAGTTTGAACTTAATAATTCCTTTTACTAAATTACATGAACAGTTCATAAAATGAGGATCATACTAACAGAATATTTCGAAGGTAATAAAAAAATTGTATATGTTTAATAGTTCAGTAACTGCAATTTTAACTTGCCTTTTTAATAAAATTATTGCTTAAAAAGTCTCGTCAAATAAAATTTAAGTAATTCTTTCAAGTAAAATTATTTCATGAAAAATTTTTTCACAAAAATAATTCTGTGGAATAAAATTATTTCATAAAAATAATTCTGATGAATAAAATTAGTTTAAAAAAAAGTTTACGGAACAAAATTATGACTAGTAAGTATCAGAGCATAAACATCACAGAATAAGTACTTATTTTTAACTCTTGTTTAAAATAACAATAAAAAAGACAATAATTTTTTTTTCGTGCAATCTTTTTAAACATAATATAGCTGTTTGATATGTATATGAAAATTTCTTCAGATAATTATTTATTACAATTTTTAATTTGCCAGTAACTTTCAACAAAATTTTTCATCTAAAATTCACATGAAAGAGAATCACTAAGTTCAATAAAAACTGTTTTTCACTGATTTTCAATGAAAACAAACTTAGGTATACAAAGAATCTATTCTGCATGATTTATTGCCCATAAAAGAAAATATTTGAATTATATTAAGCATGTAATAATGTATTTTGTTTAAGAATAAAAAATAAATTTTTTTAAGAAGAAAAGGCAATGGAATAAAAATATTTTTATAATTTTCTACTGAATTTCCCTCATCTTTAATAAATGATAATCGATTGACGAAAGTAATTTATTTAAATTATTCAGCAACTATGCGTCACAACAGTAAATATGTAGTAAGGTGTCATGCGTCTCACTTCACACAAGAAAGACCTTTTTACATAGGATAAAAAAATATAAAAAATTGAAATAAAATGTTTATTTTCTACCTTTCCTTCGTATATGTTTCACCCTCCTGTCGAGGACAAATCTACTTATCACTGCCCCCCCCTTTTTTTTGTAAAAAATTTAATTTTTTTACTGGAGCAGCAAAACTAATAAATAGTGAGGCTGGTAAATTTGGGAAGAAGAATTTGAAGTGGAGGGAAGTTCTTCCTTTCTTACGTAGTCGTACTTTTCTAAAATTTAGTTAGTTTACAATTTAAAATATCATTTATAATCTTTTATTTTCGAATTATTGTTGAGAAATAATAACGACCTATAAAAAAAAAAATTTATGTGAGAAAAAATTTACACATTTCAGATGAATGTATGATGAAGTATAAGTGTATTCTTAAAGAAACATTTAAGGAAGATTTTGATTTACTTTTCATTTCATAAATTGTGTGACTAAAAGGTTTTGCTTATGCTCATTGTTTTTGTTGGATTTTTTGGTTATAAATAATATTTTTAAATGATTTTTAAACACTTCGCGGTGTTTTTGTTTCTAAACTCAATTTAACTACAACTCAATATTAATTTATCAATTAACTTCAATTTAGCTTAAATGTCATATAATTTATTTACCGATCACAAATAACATTTGGTATTTGGCAAAATCAACCCTATTTTTCAACGTTTCATCTTCATTACTAGAACTCCTATAAAATGTAAATTCCCGAGGGAAAAAATATTTGGAACAAAAAAATTGAAATGAATTTTTGAGTACAATTCAGCAGTTGGAACTAATTCTAACACAGAAAAAAAAACAATTATCAAGTAAGAAAAATCATAAGATATATGTATTCATTAAAATTCCTACAACAACGATGAAAAAAAAGTGAGGGGAAAAAAAAGACTTTAACTTCAACTGCAACCTTGAAGTGAAAAAGTTCGGAATCGACTCGAAATGGCCTCTAGTGACCCGCGCAAAGGAATTCTTTACGAGACCATTTTTCTGTTTTCACTCATCTGCGTTCCCCTGGCGGTAATTTTTGTGCGACACGAACATCAATACTTAGACTTCTTATTTCTTTTAATCATTTCTTGTCATTAGAATTGCAGTCAATTGATTGCACTGTTAAAAAAATGTGCATTTGGAAACTGGTTAGAAATGCGGTCAATTGATTACATTGTTAAAAAATATTACATTTAGAAACTGATTAGAAATGCAGTCGATTGATGATAATGTTAAAAAAGAAATTAACATTTAGAAACTGATTTAAAATGCAGCTAGTTGATTATGCAGTTAAAAAATTTAAATTTTTCGTTTGGTGACTGATTTGAAATGCGGTCAATTGATGACACTGTTTAAAAAAACGTAATAACTTAACTAAAAAACATAACAACTAAACGTAACTTTTCGTAACAAAATAAACACTAAATTTTTTTGAAAGTTGAAATAAAATAAATGAGTCTTTACGCAAAAATTATCTATTAATTTAGAGAGAATAGTTAATCTTTGCTTCTTAAGTAAATAAATTTAATTACTTCTTTTTACTTCCAGTTCTCATTTGTTACTCTTTTAAATTATCGTCTGATGAATCCAATCTAACATAGTGTAGCTATCACAATAACATATACAAGCTGACACTAATTCCATATTTTCTTTTTTTTTTTCTTCTTTAAGTTAAAATATTAGAATATGAACTATTAAATACTTAGAAGATTCTAAAAATCGTAAGCTAAAATGATTTTATTAAAAGTAAAAAAATATTTCGAGTTCAAAATTTTCTCATTTCATTTATTCTTTCAATCTTATTTCTCTTATTGAAAGTTGTTGTTTTTCTTCCAAGCATAATGCACAAGACACGTTTTTTTTCCAAGAAAAAAAAACTTAAAAACAATATAATCCATTGAAGATTAAAAAGAAAGAAAAAAAATTCTCTTGTTTTTCATCAAGAATCTCAAAATTCAACGAAATGTGTAGCCAAATAAAATTTTACTTTAGTGTCATTTTGAAAAGAAAAAAAATTTCTTTTCTCTCTTTTTTTTATCAACGGAAAGAAATTCAGCAAAAAATGCAAGAACGATTTTAAACATGATGATTTCATATAATAGATTTTAATTCACGCTTGGTTTGTCCCCTACTAATGCATACAATGTTAACACATAGTTTAAATTATGTGACAACATAATCTGCCTAATTATGTTTTCTAACTTCCATGTTTGACAGACAAGAGTTTGTAGAATGAAGATGAAAGTTTTTCAAGAATAAAATACCTGAAGATATTCTATTTTTCCCCCTACTGATAAAGAAAAATAATATTCAAACATAGATTATCAAGAACATAATAATCGATTATATTGCAAAGTAGTTATATGAATGAATGCAAGCTTTTTTTTTTAACGTAAAATAATAGAAAGTAGCAAATTTTTTCTAAATAAGAAAAGTATGCAAAGTATTTTAGATATAAAACGTTTCAAAGTTAAAAAGAATTATTGTTATTTTAATTTAATGGAAGAAAAAAAAGAATTTTAATGAATGCGCGCTTTAACTAACAAAAATTATTTCTATTGCATACACGAAAAAAAAAAAAAAAACATTTGGCTGAGTTACCATTTAGATAGCTTCTATGAAAAACCATAAATAATTTCAACCCTTAATTTCTAAAGAACACAATTAAAATTGGAAAGCGTGTTCATCAGAGACTTATAATCTTTACACTACTTTTAACGCACAAAATAGTATTAAAAAATAGCGTTCAATTTAATTATTAGCACATGAGATCTGTCATCTAAATAGAATAATACGTTAAATTCTATTGCATTAACACCACAGGAAAAAAAAAACATTTTGGCCGAGTTTAAACCTATATGGGATATCTTTTAACAAAAATCATAAATATTACCATCCCTTAATTTTTAATGGAGATATTTGGATTTAAAATAGACCTTCATCAAAGACTTATAACTTTTGCAACTTTTTCATTAGACAAAGAAAAAAAAAGTTAACTAATTAACGTATAAAGCAATATTGAGAAGCTTTCATTTTAATTGTCTGCATATAAGATTTGGTTAATATTCTGTCTCTTAAATAAAACCACTATGTTAACAAATAATGAACTCAGTAGGCTTTCAGCATGCAAACATGTAATAAGCAAGTGACAGTTTTACTGATATGTGAGTTTTTAGCCTGTCTTGTTTGTTGAGTTAGGTATGTTAGTAAAAATTAAAGCAATCCTAATGTATAAAAGAAAAGGTCCCATTTTGTTAAAGCATTGCTACTTTTGCTTGCCTTTCAGAAAGCTAAGTTATTTTAAATCTGAATTGTTTTTTTCTTCTTTTTTTTCTTATCTATATCAGTAAAACCAGTCATTTAATTTTTCAAAATGTGTTATCTTAAAATATCATGTATTCTTCATTCGGATAAATGCCGATATTTTATTTATTTATTAATTTAATATAAATAAGATGCCCCAGTGTAAGTGCTTTGAAAACGGAGAATCATTTAAAAACTCTTTTTTTTTTCCTTCTTTTTTACTGAAATTTCATTTAAAAAAAATTAATAGCTTGCCTCAAGTCCAATTATTTAAAAGATTTTTCGAACTTCAGATTATTTTTAAAGAAAAATGTTTGTGAATTTATCGAGAAAGATGCATTTAGAGCAAAATAAAAGGGAAATATTTATATCTTTACCTGCAGCAGCATTCATTCCCTCTTCAACGGCACTAAAACAGGTCCGATAAGCCTAACATCGTCGGCTACCAGTTGGACTCTTGCCTTGAGGCTCTTTCAAGAAGGGCCTACGTAAAGATTTTCCATGATTCCTTCCTTTAAATTCTTAAAACAATCCAACACACAAGGTAACAATCGCTTCTAATCCAAAGAAATTCCACAATTTTCAAAAAAGCAGACGATATAATATCTCCAAGAGAAACTCTTTTGATGTTGACAATCACAGAATCACTCAGCGGCCACACACTCCTCTTACGCTATTCCTCATCTAAAAACTTGAAAAAGTTCTTTCCAGGAGGGGGGGTATAACTTTTTGGAGGGAGCGCCGTCTGGGCGACCCGCCTGTTCACTTTTCCTATTGGTCAGCGAATTTGTTCGGCAGGGAATGCTTCTTTCCAAAGGTATTCCTTTTCTTCTATTCTCTTTTCTTTTTTTATGGATGCCTCCCCGAACAGGTGGGGAGCTTACTTTGTTAGGAAGGTTGTCAATTTTTGAGAATATTTTCCGACACCATCATTTGCGGGTTTTTCAAATTGCGTTTGAATAAATATGTCGAATTGTTGGCGGATTGGATAACAAAGAAAATTATTTTTTTTTAAAGTTTTAAAAAAAACTTCGGTAAAATCTAAATTGTATTATTTAATTATTGGGAGTAGAAAAAGGAGTGAATAGATTTTTATTATTTATCCTTACTAAAACTTCCAAAGTATGGTTTTGTTTTCATCAGTTTTTAAATTAATAAGCCGTAAAAAGAATTTTTTTAAACTGGTACAAAATAAAAAAAACTTTACATATTTTTAAGATTTAAAAAGTTTTGAATAAAATTTTTAATTAAAAATTAAATTTGAAAATGAAACATTTTTAAAGAGTTTTAAAATTTCATGAAGTAATTTTACTCGTTAAAGAGACTTATAGGACAATTCCTATAGGTAACTGGCAGGTAGATATCAAATATAGGTAGATATTTCTTTCTCTTTCATTAAGTTTCTTCATTTTCAAAAATTTCGATAAAAATATTAAGTGAATATGGCAACATCTAATCAATCATTATCTATTTATCTATCAGTTACTTTGTATAACAACTTAAGCGGGAGCAAATAGAATAAACATCTCGAGAGATAAAAATAAATTTCTTTGGTTAATGGAAGAGTCATTAGTTAAAATAAGAAAACTGGGCGGAAAAAAGTTATCGAAAAGCCACTCAACTGCAATAAGTTAGGAGAAAAGCTAAAGTGACGCTTGTAACTAAAAAGGACTTTTTCAGCGTGTCCAATTTCAATTCTGCATTTGTAATTAGCGGAATAGAGATCAACCCACATGGTAATTTTTTTACTACAAGTTTAATTTTATTACAAGTTTTTTTATAACAGTTAAGAAACCTCGAATTAATAACTAAATTCCACATTCACTCATGTTGTGCACGTAATAAGATAGGAAAATAAACATTAATTGCGAATCAGCAAAAATTAACTCTTCTTGGGGAGATGTTTTATAAAAAAAAATTTAATATAAGAAATTATATAATGTGAATCTGAGATTATGAACGTATATAAAAATAAGAACGATAAAATAATTGTGTCACAGGTTTCCCTTGCTGTTGGTATTTTTTTATTGACCGGACAATCACATGGTAGGGTCAGCTACATTAATTTCCTTTAATATTTCTATTAATTAATTACCATATTTCCCACATTAATTTCCATATTTTTTTGATTCTCATCAGCATAAAATTATTAAAAATCATAAAGGTCAATAAAATATTAAACTTACGAGTATTTTTGTGTAATATTTAATTTTCTTATTTTAACTCTGCTATTATTGCGGTTTTCATTTTGATTGTTTTCTAAATAAAGAGAGTAAAAATAAAAAGAGTTATTTCTTTATTATAACGTAATTCTATGATATTATCTCATTGTACTTTATTTTAAAATCTCATTTGAATCGGTGTCTAAATTTATTTACTGTTTTACAATTATTATTTTTTGGTAAAAATTACTTTAATGTTTTATTACAAATTACCGTTAAAGATATTGGTTAAATGATTTAGAATTTAATGCTCAGTTTCATACACAATGTGATGCATGCATAGATTGTATTTAATATATTCGCCTGATTGAGAAACGAAAATATTAAATTATGGTTGTAAACTCACCAAATTTGTTATAACAATATATCTTTAATTTTAAATGTTGTTTTTAAAAAAATTATTACTAAGTAAGATTACTTATTTTCACTTATAGATCTTGAGTAGCGCTGTCGTACCACAGGTTCCTGGTTCGATCCTTGGACCGGGCAAGGTTGACTATGCTTTTCATCCCTTCAGTGGATCGATAAAATGAGTACTAAGCATGCTTGGGAGCTAAACAATGGGGATTCCACGTTGCGCTGACCACTCAACCGGAACATCTGCTCTTGCACCTCAGAGCCCAAAGGTCAAGAAAACTGAGATGGGCACAGTAGGCCTTGGCCTTCTATGGGCTGTTGCGCCACTGAGTTTAGTTTAATAGATCTTAAGAGAATCAGAATCATTCGAAATCTTTTATACTACTTAGCGGTTAAATTATACTCAAAATATACATTT